TAGATATACGAATATATTGGTTTGACGATCCTTTTCAAAGTGGCCAAAAGGTGGCTATTTCTGTGCTAAAAAAATCCTCAAATATCGAGCATTTCTTGCATTTATGGATGGATTTTGTTCAAACTTATAACATACATTAGACATTACTGGTTCCTGATGCACGTCATTTTATTTTTCAGATTGGATTCAAAATGGCTGACTGGTGGCCATTTTGTTTTAATGATTGGGCTTCTAGAGCCATACATTGTATCTCTTAAATGCTTTGACTGATTATATTAAAATTTTATATATTCGTTATACATCATGTTATATATATATATATATACATGTATTCAAAATGGCTGATTTTGAATGCTGTTCCAGAGCAATATTTCTCAATATGGACAAGTACTTGTTTGACGATCAGATACAAATGTCAATCATTTTAATGTTAAAAAATCATATTCCTAGCATGGTTATATTCCAGCTATATTACTATAAACAAAACTATATATCTTAAATTTGATAACTAACGGGGACTGTGCCATGCATGGCTTGTTTGCGTTAATTTTTTATGTCACGAGTTGGAAACATGGACATGTAGTCTGTGCTTTCGGAACATTTAAAATCTGTCCTACCTTCCAGTTTGATGACGTCATGCAAATTATGTGCAAGCGCACAAACAATAAACATGCGAACACTATCCATTCACGAATCAGGAATTGCTTTTCTATTGTTTAGGAAACCCTCGATAAATATCTTCTGTGCCCTCTATGGAAAAAGTGGGAAATGTTGTTGATTACAAAATTTGTTGATATAGTTGTTGATTGTCTTATTCCAGAAAGGCTCGGAAATTATTCCAGGCGAATGCTGCACCTATATTGCATTTAGCTGGAATTAGCACCGAGATATTTGAGGTAAATTTTATGTTTATTTCACATCAACATCTTTTTGTTTGCTGTACTGTGATACTACCTCTTATATAGCAGCTTAAAAAGTGAAACGCGTAACTATGCAGTACAGCTGTGTGTAACATAAGCTGGTTTTCCTTTTCATACATTTTTTTAAAGTGAGTATCAATGTCATTTATATTTACTACTTATTCTTTAGAGC